TATTAATTACTAATTATTTTTAATAATTAAACGAAATTAAAAATGTCAAAATTTTAGTTGCTTGTTTGACCATGCTATTACCCCAGGTAGGGGTGGGCACGCACGCGGGCAACCGATCGGTTGCCCGACAACCGCAGCAAAATTGGGCTTGCGGTGCGGTTACAAACGGGCTTCGGGCCCAAGGAACGGTTTTTCGCATCAACCGTTTATAATCGGTGCGGGCTTCGGTTCCAAGCCCAACAACCGAACAACCGAATAATACACCCGAAAACCCGTATTATTGTTTAGGAAAATATAAAATATATACCTTCTAAAACACAAACCCTAATTTTTTCATTCATTCCCTCCCAGCCTACACTGAAAATTTTCATCTACCGCTTCCTATCCTCCACCCTTTGGATTCTCCGCCAAAAACCTTTCCCCCCACCCCAATTTAGAAATTTTCAATCATTCCCTCTAATTTTCAATCTTTAATCTCTCATATTTCCTTCTCACTTCACTTTCACTTTCTTTTTTCTCACTTCCTCTCCCCATTTACTCCCTTTCACAGTCGGCCAAGATCTCATGTTCTCTTTACTGTAAATTCTCTTCATCATCCATCTCTAACCCCAATCTACTTTGGCTGCAGAATCTCTGCAGTGCATCACCAAAAATCTGGAATTAAAGCCCTATTAAGGTCTTCTGTCTCTTTCTTTCTCCAGATCTGTCTTTCACGACCACCGCGTGTGGCTTCAATCGTCGGCTACAGTTGCATGTTTCCAGGAGAACAATCCCAATCCCACCCAGCACAAACATGAAACCAGACGAGAGTCCTTCGATAATGTACTGTCCATTGACGCGGCCGGGAAGGAAGACGACGGGGCGGACGGAGCCGGTGGCGGGGTCCTGAGTGGAGCCGATGCCAGGGGGCTCGACGATAACGTCGTAGACGAAACCGGAGACCACCATGAAGTAAGTGAGCAGGACAAGGCCGAAGACGGTCATGGGAGAAGGAAGGGTGAGTGATGGGAGTTTCAAGCGGAGGCGTGGCGGGCGGAGGAAGGAGTAGGGAAGGACCTTCAGGATGTGAAACAGTGGATCTATTGAGGATTGTACCGCCGGATCAGCCAGGTTTCCGGCGTTAAGGGATTGGGGATCTGGTTTGGGGGCCATTTCCGTGGTCGGAGATGATGAAATCTTGAGTCTTCGCTTTGTGAAACTAGGAAAAATGGAACTCGGGAGAGAAAGTTCGATTTTGGATTGATAGGTAAAGCCCTTGAAATGTTGTGTAATGTTCAATTTGGTCCTTAAAATTTGAGAGTATCCAAACCCATATCTCAAATGAATAGCAGAAGCTCCGTAGTTAAGAATATCTCAAATGAATAGCAGTTGCATTATAGATCTCTTTAACCTCCTATTATTTTTAGTTTTTTTATGGTCTGATTGTTAACAAAGCATAATTAAATTCGGTATTGTTTCATCTGAAATTTGATTCAGTTAATGATAGTTTCCAGCTCCAGAATTCTATTTTTGTTACCTTTTATTTTTCTTTTTTAAATTATGTATACGGTTAATTGTTTTCTAAAAGGAAACACAATGAAGTTTAACTTAAATTCTCATACCAAAGATAGATAAAAGTGATGGGTTACTAGCTTTGCTGCTTGGATATTTGATCCACAAATAAATTGGATCATAAAATTAAAAGAAATGGACCACAAAGTATTTAGTAGATATTTGGGCCAGAAAACGAAAGGCCCAAATCCAAAAAAAAAAAGTTGGTAAGGGTTCAAGGCTGGAATCGGTCAAAACCGAAACCGATGTCAACCGAACCGATTAATTTAGTGACCGAACCGAAAAACCGAAATATTATTCGGTTCGGTTTTTGGTTGTTATTTCACAAAATAAACAACCGATTAAAACCGTCAATTC